GTAGCTTCTTGCTCCTAGTAGTATGGCCAGGAGCTACTAGTAGCGTCTGTTAACTTGCGTGGTTGTCGCGGGAATTTTCAAAATAAGCGTTTCAGCATGTTCCGAAAATAGAAACTACCTTCAGAAATCCAGACCTGTGTCATATGCAAATGCAGTCCATCCCTCCCGGGCACAAAAACACCCTTTTGTCATCCGTGGTCGGTCTGGGGTCCATGGAAATCCACAGATTTGAGCTTTAAAGTGCTCAACGGCTTTCGATGCAAAACAAATGTAGCCCCTTCGGCCCACGGAACTCAGGACTAAAATTTCCTGAAGCCCACTGCCTGAGAGGTAAGCCCCTCAGCAAACTGGAAAATGCGGCGTAATGCGATGATTAATTTGTTTGCAAATTCTAATTCAAGTCCAAATCCAAAATACGAACTTCACGCTCCACCTTTCCTCGGTCTGGATCTAGACCGATCTCGCTGGGACTCCTTGTCTGCCTTCTTGTCCTTTTCTGGAGACTTCATACAAATGTAGGCGGCGCTGAGCCATCCTGATGATACCTTAGAGGGCAGTCGAACACTCCGCAATGAGAGTCCATTGCCCACTAGAGCTTCAGGATTGAAACAGGAGCCACGCCGACTCCATCGCCTCTAGGACTCCAGAACATGATACGAAAACAGGGATACCTCTTGATTCAATGACCGATTAGCCACCCGACCCGACCCACCCACAAAAGCAAACGCACTTGCTGGCTGCTGGCCTGGGAGTCTGCATACAAGTCAAGATATTCATTTGCTTCGGCTGTCCCTTGGACAAACTCCACCATCTCACCATTCACAACTCCGTATAGGAATGGACCATCACCACGGTGACCACGTACCTCTTTTTCCTTGGGCATTTAACAAAAGTAAGCGCCCTGAAAAGTTCAAGGCGCTGAGGCACTGTGCGACAGTTTGAGGTCTGAAAATTGCGGCACCATATACGACTCACAAACTGTGAGTGACGTGAGGTCTGACAGTTTGAGTCTGAGTTTGGAGCTAGTTATACTAACGGACCAACGTTCTCTTAATAATATAAATATAATATATTCAACATATATTATATATATTTATATAAGTACTGGAATCCAGTTCGGACGGTCCGGAGTCTGGACCGTCTGCCTCTGTTTTCGCAGCAGCGTGCCCGAACAATCAAGCCTTCGGTCTGATCAAACCAGCCGCTTGCAAGCCCCATGAGCGTGTCTGCTGCACGCTCAAGATGGAACCTGACACTCTGGGACCCGAAGGCCCAAAGAGTTAGCGTAATTGCAACGCACCAGGCTGCCTGGGAACAGCTCCAGCAGAACCATCATAGCAATAATAGTCATAGCTAATAGAATCTAGAAGAAACAAAGATACAGCAGCAACAACGGTGTGAGTAGTGTGTTAGAACTGTTTGAACTAACTGCTGAAATAAGTACAGTGTCCGCCCGCTCAGTGTCCTGTGTGTTCTGTGCCATGTCATTGAAAATTTCAAAAAGTGGGACCGGACTACAACCCATCGTTTGGTCACGTCGCAGTGAGCTGCCCTCCTGACGGCCGTGCTTAAACCATCAAAAAGGCCAAGGTCTATGGAGCAGCGACTCAGCTAACCACTGACTCTGACCTAAGATTGGTTCTGGTCGCGTTTGCTCTGATAGTCCTTAAGCCATCAACCCTCCACGCAGGCATCATTCGATGCCTATCCCCCAAACCCCAGTATTGCTGCAACCTTTGATCGCAGGATCACCAAGCTCTCACTCAATATCCTGGTCCCGAGAGCTGTACTTCTTCAAGGGAGCGTGAATGAACGCCGACAACATGGTCTGGTTCTGGTGCGAGGCAGCCTTTGCGAGCATCTTTTCTGCTGCGGTCTTCCTGTGCTTCTTTTCCTTCTTTTCCTTGTCCTTGTCCTCCTCCTTTTCCTTCTGCCGTTTCTCCTTCTTGTCCGACTTGTCCGAGTCCTTTTCTTTTTTCTTTTTGTCTGCCTTGCTCGCCTTGTCCTTGTCACTCTTCTTGTCCTTCGCCTCCTTCTTGTCCTTCGCCTCCTTCTTGTCCTTCTTGGCCTTCTTTTCCTTGCCAGGCTCAGGCTCATCCTGTTCGGCTGGCTCAGATTCTTCCACCTTTTTCCCCTTGGCTTTGGCCTTCGCCTTTGCCTTCTCTTTGGCTTTTGCTTTAGCTGCCAAGGCTTTCGCTTTGGCAGATGCTCCTTTTCCTGGCCTTGCCTTTGCTGCAGCTTTGGCACTGGCACTGGGTGGCATTGCAGTATCCTTTGCGTCCACCTCCTGCTCCTCCTCCTGCTCCTCCTCCGCCTCCTGCTCCACCTCATCAGTGTCAGTCTCCTCTGCCTCAGCCTCAGCGCCAGCCACCTCAGCGGCGCCTTGACGTCCAGCTTTGCTTGCGTCCACATCCATGGAAGACTTGTCATTCTTTTCAGCTTCAGCTGTCGTACCAGGTGCAATTGGGGTGTCCACGTCCATCAAGGCCTTGACATCCTCACTGCCACCGTCACCGGTCTTGTGATCGCTCGCCTCCATTGCCACTGCCGTGGGTTCGGTTTCTGAAGGCGATGACGTTGGTTTCCTTTTCCCCTGACTCTCAGTAGCTTCAGCTTCGTTGGCACCTTCATCCGGCCGTGTGGCCGAGGACATGCCGGCATTGTTCTCACCTGACTTGGCTGGCTCCTCCGACTCCCTTTCAACCTCTGGGATGCTTTCGGACGAAAGCACTGCAGAAGGTCCATCCTTCACAGGGACATCTCAGTTCAAGAAAGTAACCAAGTTCCAAAGAGTGCCAGTGGTGCAGTGGTGCCCGGAATCACTAAATATATATAATATAAATTGAAATTGAACTGAACTCTGAAGTTCCGAGGAGAACATTGAACAAAAACAACTGCGTCCTCAGCGCCAGTCGCAACTTCAGGGGCTGCAGCACCATCGGATCTACCATCATCCTGGTAGTTATGGTGTGGCGGCGGCGGCACGGTCAAAGTCGGAGGGTGGTGATCAAAGCACACAAGGCATACATTCATAGTATTTACAAGTACCAACACGATTGTGGTTCAGGGCATGGCGTCCAGGTATCTAGTGTGCGGTGCAGTGCAGTGCACTGACTGACTGTGTAGAAATCGTCAATCGCGAATCGCAAGTGGAACCCCGGTCCTGTGGTCCAGTAGCATCCATCACAGGGCGATGCTGAGGGTCCGTTGCCCCTGCCTCCTTCTTGACTTTCAGGGGTGACATCGGAGTCTCAGCCATAGCCCGAACGGGAACAATCGAGGGCTCTTTCCCAATCACGGTAGCTTCAGCATTGGGATAGAGGTGCTCCACGATTGCAGTCGCGAAACTGGTCAGTGGTGAAGGACGAACCTGACCATACTTGACTCAGCTCAACCACGAAAGTCGTTTTGCATGGCATGAGTCAAACCCTTGGCCTATGATACTACGACGAAGAGTGTTCCAAATTTATTGTCAATGTGTGTGTCCGTCCCGTCTCGTATAACTGTCATGTTTGTTGTTTGCTGTCACTGTCACTGTCAGGTTTGTTTGTTTGTTTGTTCAATATCAAATCGTTGTGCCTGCCTGGGTCATTGAAGAAAGAAAGCTCTCAGCACTAGTAGCCGTGAAGTGGCACAAATTGATCCTGCGGGTGTAAAGTCAAGAACGCTTCCAATTTCCAAGAAAATTGCCAACAATATTCCAAAACAGCCAAAACACCTGGGAACACAACAATCCGGAACCAATTTGCAGAACAATAACGGACGGCAAGTCCAGCCTGACTGTGATGCTCGTCTCCACAGCTTTCTCTACAGTCACCATGCCCGCAGGTATGAACATGACGTCACCAGTCTTGACAAATTCAAAGCTGAGCTGGGGCATAGACCATGAATCAGGAACTTCAAGGCCTTCTTCACCACTCATCTGCTCAAAAAGCTCAAGGCAGCTCTTGACAGATCGCTGCTGGTAGTACTGGATTAGCTCGCTGGCCGATGCCAAGGCCACCAAGCGCTGCCCTTGCAGTTGCAGTCTGCAAGTGCAGAGGCCCGCACTCTCCAAGCCACTAAACACAGTATTGGCCTTATTGCCGACCAGCCATGCCGTTCCAAATGAATCCAAGCCTTTCTCTAATGTCCCAGAATCATCCGATTCGTCAATGATATGCTTGATGGTCTCGTCGGGTACTTCCGTGAAAGGAATCCACTCTTTGACCTTGGAGGTGATGGTGTTTGACAAGACCTGCGCGGTCTCCTCCGTCTTGTCCAGCAGGATCCTCACAGTGTCACAGTGTCAACTTGTTGAAAACAAGCAGAATTGTGTGAATTGTGAAATGTCAAATGTAAATTGCGAAGTTCAATAAGCATGACATAGCATAGCATGACCGAACTAATACAACAGACCTCAACAGACTGTTTGCTTCTGAGCTTCATACTTCTTCAATTGTGTTAATTGTGTTATTGTTATTCTGGCAGCTAGTGGATTGAAATTGAGTCTTATATAGATTGGAATGGTCCTGGGGCATGGGCATGGGGCATGGGTCAACAAAAATATAAAGCGGCATCTCGCCAAGAAATTGCCTGCGACCAAGAAACATAGACTTGTTGTCTTTTGACGCGTCAACCTTCTTCGCGAACTCCTGTAGTGTAGCTTCGAGGTTTCCGCGGGTGGCGGCGTCCTTCACGAGTTGTTTGGACAAACCTCTCCCTTTCTTCAAGACGAAAGGGAGTGAAGAGTCCGCAGTTCCGTTGGTCAGTTCCTCAACATCTTTCACTTGCTTCATCGGTCTGCGTTGAAGCAAGTTTTTGATGGTTTGGATGATCACCGGGTCGGACGAGGACAATGTTTTTGAGAAGTTCGCTCTTCCTGCCAAAACTCGTCTGGCAGCTGCATCCGTACCGTCTTC